GTGCAAGGCACCATTTAAACCCAACTTTATAATGCTAGCAAGACTAGTATAAAACCAGGAGTTTCAGCTCCAGGACACAAACTAAACTACCCCGTACTACCAAGTGATTACCTCGTCTGGCCCATCTCGGTATGTCGGTAATACTTAGAGCATCTAGTCTATAGCATCTATAGTATCTACGATTAAATTTTAAACCGATTGAGCTACTTGTATCTGGTTTTTCTGTCTACATAAAATTGTCTGCGTGTTACAATACGTACTATTTAGCCGTTACCTGTGGCGTCTTGCATACTACAATAATCGCGCCTCCCATATTGAGGAAACCATTGCTTCAGAAGGGTGCTTTATCTGATGAGGAAAAGGGAATCCATTCCTCGCGCATCCAGTGAAAAATGGTGCCATTTTGCGGTTCCCAGATAATTAAAACGGTCTAATCCCGCATCCCGAAAATAACCGAAAATATCCGAAAATATCCGTAAATCACAGATGCTAGTTGTACACAACAGCATATGCCGTAACTTGAACAGAAATGTCGCAAAATCATAACTAATGATAACTACGATGTGGCATTGCACGTCTGCAACGCTAATAAACTAGACAAGGCTATAAACATTATATTTAAGATTATATTAGAATTCGTGGTCTATCCCACGTCAATGCACATCCGAAACCAACTTATACGGCGTGGGCATGCATGCTAGCACGGGATAAAGCCGCGGTGCCGAGGGTGTGGCTCCCAGGGAGCTTGTTACGCAAATTATAGGTTCTAACATGAATGTGTGTACGTGCGTGCGGGCGTGCGTCTCTGTGTGTGTGTGAATGTATTTTATATCTATCTATAATGTATATAAATCTATGCGTGTCTTTACTCACAAACTGCGCATGCCCACAACAATGTGTTTCGCATGGATTTAACTGCATAATGAAAGTGTCAATGACACTATAGCTCACCTTGGATGTGATAGAAGAAGGAGATAATATTTAAAATTTGGTAAGTGTTTCATTTATGACGAACCAAAATGTGATCAAATGTCCTTATTCACTGTTTTAGACTATTAGAAATTTCACTGTTTTGTTTCAGGGTTAGTTTTGTTGCAAAAATAAATGTTTCAGATCTGAAAGTCTGAAATCTTGGTGAGATGGCGCTACGCCTAGATGATCGCCATTTTGGTTTTCGATTATCGTGCAAATAACATCAATAAAATATTCCAGTAAAATTACTGTAACGAAGAATCTAAAACACAATATTACACGTAGATATGATTAGGTAGGTAGGTAGGTAGGTAGGTAGGTAGGTAGGTAGGTAGGTAGGTACGTAGGTAGGTAAATTTAACAAAATCGAATGAATCTAGATGGCCATTTTCATTTTGCTAAAAAGTGGGCGTGGCTCGAAAGTAGGTCGACTGGCGTGCTCTAAAATAGGACGTTCAAATCTCTCCATAGACACTAGCTTCCTCCCCTGAACTCAAACTCCGCTCTACAGCTCACGTTCCCAAACTCGATCATCACAGACGCTGGTTGCGTTTCAGTGCTAAATAAAAGCACCAGCCGATGGCTCCTGTAAACGGTAGCGCACCGAGTTTTTCGCTACTGTTGCTACCATCTCAAACTACACGGCTACAACAATATTGTGGTCTGATGTTTGACCGAAATAAACGCGAATCTTTGCCACCATATAGTGTCTACACGCGAAGTTGCTACTTACGTCTTAGGTAGATCGATCACGTGCTTCTATAGATCATGGACTCTCGGCTATAAAACACTTATCGACGTCAGAGAGGAGGCGAAAGGGCAAGATTGAGAGAGACAGAGAGAGAGAGAGAGAGAGAGAGAGAGAGAGAGAGAGAGAGAGATGAATCTGCGGACACATCGCAGCATTTTTTCCATCTTCGCGCTAGCTCACTCAGCTGGAGACAAAACCGGAATGTTATTTTTATCTTGCACTTCACTCACTGTGCATTGTTGCTAAATTGTCTACCGGGATGCTCATGGACACACATTTCTAAAGCAGTTTGTGAGTTTCCTGTGAGATTATACGAATCAAATGACGAATGGCCGCCAGTCTGGCACCGAGCAGTGCGGTATTGCTCTTTCTCTCTGTCTGTACATGCGATGGTCATCGCGATGCTCCGAGGATTCCAAGCACCGCAGTGGGGTCTCCACTCTCGGGGTAACCATGCTCCCCGGAGCCGGTGGCGTACCCCAGACGTTAGGCTGCCGCTCGATGGTTCTGGTGCTGAAGGCTCGCGCCCTAGACACAGGCGTTCTTGGCAGAGGCATCTTAGAGTTACCAGAGCTCCACAGCAACCAATATCCGCGTTTTGTGCGTTGAGACGTGAGGTTTGGATAATATGTTGACGGGCAGGCCGACAAGTGTAAATTCAGTGACGACACGCCACACACACACGCTGCTCTGTTATCGATTAGTTGATCCTGGTCACGGCACCAGTGTAACGCTTGCCCCTGTGGCGTTGTGGTTGATCAGGCCGTGATCGTCCCACAAGGGCGACTCGTCGGGTCGTGCACCTCGACTGCCAGGCACATTCCGTTATGACCAACCAACGACAAACAGAGCAACAACACGGATATAAGCGATACTTGGCTATGTACAATAGCCTCTTTACTTGACGCCCTCAGCAATCAAAATACAACAGTCATCGTACATAATAGTTCAATGGTCATACGCTATACGAAGCTCGTGGTGCCGGTGGTCCTGAGCGTCTTGACTCTTCCTCCCTCTCTGGCTGACTATTGCTGAGTCTGGCGCGAGTGCAGCGGCAGGTGACTCTGACAGCGACTCAGTCGCTGAGTCGAGTGCTTGACAACTGTCATATGTCACCTTATATACCCGTTAGCCGTGGTATATCACGTGGCATAGAGGACACACAAAACGTGCACGTGCTCACGACGACGGAAGCTCAAGGATGACTTGGTGAATCAAGGAGGATTCGATGAAGCTGAAGCTGCATCTCCACGTCAGCAATGATGCCTACTGACGTGCCGAGGTTGCGTCAAGCTTTACGCGCACACAGTAGTATATCGTATATGTATAATTACATCCCTCAAAATATATCAAGAAGCCAAAATCGTTACAGTAGACACTGGTGACAGAAATAACCGTGTCAGGGCCGTCATCTAAGTCATTTTGAATGGGGAAGGTGGTAAATGCATATGCAATTAGTATTCCGGTTTTTGCCTAGCCCCGGATTGCTGACGATTTTGATCTTGCCCGCCGGGTGTAACTACGTGGTTGTCTGAGGTCGATATTTGAAATCGGTAATTGATCAAAAAAGGGTGCCGCGAGCACGTATTATCGGATATGTGAATCTATTACACCAAAAGCGCAGCATTCGTTTGCTCTGCTCGTCCTATAGGGGGCATACAACAGTAACCTTCCGCAAATTGTTCACCAATGTTGCACTATTTCGTCTCTGGAAAAGACCTTCTTTTGATTTTTTGGGGGATAAAAATCGCCAGTAGAATGCACTAATTTGCATTATGCACGCAAGATAGATGACTCAGGGATGTGTTGGAAGCGGAATTAAGACCCAGCAATGTCAAGATCACGCTGCGCAGACGTGGCAACGGTGCGAAATCCCCGATTACATTTGGTGTCACATTTTTTAGACATATATATGCGCTTCAGAGACAGAATACTTGACATGACACTTGTCCCAACCTAGAAGTGAACGCTACTTAAACGATAACGTGGGCATCTCGCTCGGGGTTCCCTATCGCGCTCTTCTCCCTAAATAGCTCCCGCCATATTGCTGTCTCTCTCGCTTTCCTTCTTCCTCTCCTTTCTTTTTCCCTTACTACGTGAGCTTTTCCGACAAGGAGGTAAGTATATCTTTGGCATGCTATGTATGCGGGCTCTGCACAATCTTACCGCGGCTATGTGAGATAGATTCCATCGCGTATTTATCCTCCGCACAAAGTGTAGCGGAGGGTATTGTTTTTGGCTCGTTTGTATGTGACAGTGTGCATAAAATTCATCGCGTATTTGTTGGTAAGCGCACATTCCACATCTGTCGTTGACACACCTGTGCTGACATTGACGTTAGTTTATTAATTCGACAGCTATCGTTTCTGAGATGCTAAATACTTTCAGACGGTTATGTTTCGAATGGAACGATATTTGTCTACGCGACCAAGTGCAGTAATAGCACCTTGTATCCGCGTGGTACCGAATGCAACGTGTGCACGAGAATATAAGATGGGAAAATCTGCATCATATTTATTCTTTTATTCTTCGTTTAATTCACAAACATACATTTATTATTCGCGCGATGACGAATCCCTAAATGTAACGCCACGAGCACAATATATAAAGTGCACTAACGCTCGCAAAATTCAACATACAACACAAAACACAAATCGGAATCTTGCTCTTTTACTCGCTGGCTGGAGTATCATGCCACAGGCAGAGCGAAGGACTACAGTTCTAGAGCTGCATACCAGCCTGCTCACACTGCATCTATATATATGAACACTGCGTGCGAGTGTTGAATGCATATAGATGTAGCGTGAGCGGGTGGACATGATACTGTATCCAATGATTTTAGCGAGCCTTTTTTACGTCAGGCAATCCTAATGGGTAGAAATAAGTAAATAAATATTAAGGGATTCAACCCATTGCTAGCAGTCCCCGAATGGCATACACTCCGAATGTTCTTATATCATAAATGCTCTTAATTGAAACGCGTTAGGGGCTTGAAACAACAACAAAGTTTCGCGTTGCAACGTGGACATTTATTAAACTCATTTATAGCTACGGAGCGCCATTTACAATATTATCTTTTAAATGCGTACTATATATTTTGTCCTTGTTTTTCCAAATGGAGTGCAACTAAAATTGCTCACAACTTTCCTAAGTTTCTCCTTAATTAATAATCATATACAAAGCATAATATCAATCTGCCAAATACAATGCACGTCGTTGCGATTAAACTAGAATTGCGGCAAGAGCCGCACGACACAACATGCACATATGCGCTCGGTTACAACTCAGCTTCGGGTGGAAATAGCGTGTGACAGTTGCCGTGGTACAAGTTCACCGCTCCGTCACATCGGTTGAACAGTCCGAATAAAGCCGAGGGCATGGTGATGGAGCGCGCATACTTGCGGCACAGCTGCCGATTCCACGTGCACGGCAGCGTGTGAAACAGTTCGGGATACTCCATGCCCAATATCGTCACCACTTCTTGGTCGCCGAGATGCGATTTTGTGAAATAGTACTTTCGCATTAAATATCTCAGATTTCTCTCGGCTACCGCCGCCTGGATATATCTCTAGATTTCGACATGTGGGTCGAGAGTTTGATGAGGTAGAGGGCCGCCATTTGTAACCCGGTTTTGCCCAGGCTGCGGCATGCCCGCCTGTCGTCACCAACACGCCTCGTGCTATCGCAACCTTGATACATATACAGCGAGTTGTTGCTCTTGAGCCAAGCGCGAATATTGTCTCCTCTTTGAATGCATCAAAACTCCCGCCAAAGTTTTCGGAATGCGGTCATTAATCTCAGGTCGGCATCCACCTTTGATGTCATGCGACTCGACTTCGACAAGGTCAATGACCTTGTGAAGGGCGAACGGAATGAAGTAAAATATGTCGTTGAAGAGATTGTATTTCTTTCGGTAACTTTTAAACAACTGCTGAATAGGCCATACGTCGTGTCCTACTTTCGCGACGACCGATTCGACTTCGTATGTCTGCACCTGGTAACGGACCGTGAAAATATTCAGTGTATTATCATTTTCTAATTTCAAATTTATAAAGTTCGAACTTTTAATTGCCAATATCCAATTTCAAATTTCTAATGTTTAATTTTTAATTTCGAATTTCGAATATCTAATGTATAATTTCTAATGTATAATTTTTCATTTTTTATTTCTTATTTCTTATTTCTTTTTGCTAATTTCTAATTTTTAATTTCTAATCTTTAATTTCTAATTTCAAACTTCCAATTTCTAATTTCTAATTTCTAACTTTTAACTTCTAATTTCTTACTTTTACTTTCTCATTTCGAATTTTTTACTTTCTAAATTCCATTGTTCTACCTCCCCACATTGGTTGCGAATGTTGCGAACGCTAACACGTTTTGACATGTGAGCCGGTATCTGCAGACGTCGCACAGGTTAGGAATGCATGATGCAATTAGGAACACATAGACAATCTCATCTAGCGCAGGTATCTTCCGTGTTTTTAATACCTGTATAACTAGATCCTCGCTGTGCGGAATTGTATCGAACACGTTTTCCAGGATGTCGGCTGCGATCCGGGTGCTGTTCGCGTCGCCCAGGAAATGGTACTTGATCCGACCAGTTGCATGCTTCACCATGGACCTGCGCAAGAAAATGCGGCGAGTTTGACCCGTGAGTGATGGCGTGGTTAGGGAAAATGCGAGACTGTTGTATATAGGCGTCCACGAGGGTTCTCGTATCACTTGTGTTTGGCTCGATTTAGAAGCCAGGTGCATTTTTACGGTCGCAAACGCTGCTACCGACAATGGGAGGCATTTCTTGGTAACAGCAAACACGAGTTTGAAAGCTCTCACCACGACTGGACACTAATATTTTGTTAATACCATGAAATAAAATCGAATTAGTTCTCGTACTGCAACTGGAAAGTCGAGATACCAACGCGAAACATATCGATACACCTTCGCATGAGATCGGTAAAACGACATTTAAAATTAAAAAGCATGCTTTTATAACGCACGCGATGCGATAACACGACAAATTATTGTAACAGGGAACAAACCTAATGTTGGCTCGAAGTTGCTGTTGAAGCAGGTCATTCTTCTCAGCTTTAGCAAAGAACATGAGGATGTGAACTGTTTCCGGCTGTCCGACAGGTTTTCTGCTCTGCTTCTGCTCTTGCAGAATACTGCAGTAGAGTATGATGGCGAGGGCACTTACCCATAGCAAGATACGTACTCTTCTGCGACATACTGTAATAAAAAATGATTCTCTCCGTTACCGCACCATTAATATTACCGTAAAACAATCACCGTAAACCAGTTACTCTCAATCTCTTACTCTTATTCCGTACAGACTTCAAATTTGATCCTACATCAAACTAGTCCGGGCCAGGCGAGCGCCAAACATTTGCAGTGTGTACACGCTATCCCGGACAAAATAGGTTGATAGTCCGGACAGTTAGCCTCATGAATACTATTACTATTACTATTACTATTACTATTACTATTACTATTACTATTACTATTACTATTACTATTACTATTACTATTACTATTACTATTACTATTACTATTACGATTACGATTACTATACCTACCACCTAGTGTGCAATGCATGGCAGACCTACCCAGAGATAGAGTTACCACAAATCAGCCACCATTCACTAAAGTGGGTGTTGTCTATTTCGGCCCACTCAATGTGAAGAGAGCTAGGAAAACCGAGGTGAAGAGATATGAGTGCCTATTCACGTGCCTAGCCACTCGATCAGTGCACCTTGAGGTTGCTTGCAGCCTTGAACCTGATTCGTTCATCAACGCACTACAACGATTTATTGCACGACGAGGGAACCCAAAGACCATCAGATCCGATATGGAACCAACTTCGTTGAGGCTAAGCGGGAGTTACATGAAGCCATAAAAAAGTGGAATCAGCAGAAGATAGCCAACTATCTACTACAACAAAACGTACAGTGGATATTCAACCCACCAGCAGCCTCCCATATGGGTGGAGTATGGGAAAGGCAAATCAGAACCGTCCGAGCTGTCCTCTCGGGCATCGTCAGCCAGCAAACCATCGACGACGAGAGACTATCAACTTTATTCTGCATAGTTGAAGGCATTGTCAATGGTAGACCACTAACCGAAAGCTCTCAGACGAACCCTAACGGACCCGGTCCACCTTTAACACCGAACCAACCTGCTGACTGCCTGAGATCTGGGGACAGACTTAACACCCGGAAGGTACTGTCAGCAGAAAGACTTTATAGACAGAGATGGCCGCCAAGTCCAGTACTTTAGCGAGTATTTAATGGACGCAGGTGGTGATATAAGCATGGAATCTGCCCACCTACGAGAGAGGCAGAAGTGGACTGAAGCGCGAGAGGAACCTTCCAGAAGGGGAGACTTGGGCATTTTCGTTGCAATGAGACTATCCCACGTTACCAGTGGCCTTTGGGGCTTAATCACCCAAACTGGACCCTCCGTTAATGGATTTGTCAGTGCTGCTGCTGCAAGTCACTAGGACACAGAACGGACTATACACGAGACCTAGTGCGCACAGCTGTGCCTACTTGAAGCGGAGTAGATGTTATTTAAGCGACATACGCACTGGAAGAGGATGACCTTTAGCTGCTGCCCATTGGACTGTATAAACGAGTTGCTGTTGGCTTCCATTTACTTAGCGGAAATGACCCCCCCCCGGCCCGGGGGCCCACCCCCGCTGCCCCCTCGACTCCAGCCTCCTCGGCAAAGAGTCCGCACCGCTGTCTCCCAGGCTCCACTCTCGCCGCTACGCCCGGTTACCGCGCCGCCACTGCACCTTCTTATTACTCGCCCACAGCACGCGCTCCTCTGATACGCGCTCCACGCCTCTGCCTCACAGCGGATGTGACGCGCGCTGCCTCACCTTATCGCCATTGATGGCCAAACAGGGCCCCAAAACCCCTGCATGCCCAGCGCACCCCCCCCCCATCTCTCCGCACAGCTCACGCATACCACCTGCATCCTCCCCTTAGTCCCACTCATCTCCTCTCCCCCATGGATACGCCGGCACTCAGCCTGAGCCCTATTCGCGCCCCCCCCCCACCTTAACATTCGCCCCACCCAGCTGCCCCCGCCCCCAGAGCGCCCATCTCCACACCACCTCCCGCTCACCACCCGCTCGCATCCCTGCGCGCCGCGATCTGTTGCCCCACAAACTTTCAAATGAAAAATAAGAAAAACGCGACTTATTCGTCATATATTCTCAAATTAGCTATCAGAAAAAACTCTTGATCAATACTTAAGCAGCTCTCTGTACAATATGGGATATGGTTATAGGAGATCATGTCTTGGACAGCTAACGGAACGCAGAAATACCACGAAAGAAATAATTTTTTACGTGACCGTCACGACGTCCCACGTGCTCACGCCCTAGCCTCCGCGCGCCCCCCTACTTCCTACCAATTCTATACATCACCACTTCGTTCGTCTACCCCATTCGTATGAAACACACACCAAGAAGGCCTAAGCATGATCGAACACATGACTCTGCACAACATGCACTGCCACACCACTGCAAACGCATATATATCTATCCTATATACGCCCCTCAAGATATATAAATTTATTTATTTATAACCGGCATACTACCGGTACTAGCTCTCATCACCCCATACCATAGGCTACACTCAATCACTACACTCTACGTCCTACTATAATACCCTCACTCAGACATATTATCTTCACTCTGCCAACAGGCTGCCCCCCACCCCCCACCCGCTCGCTAGCCCCCCCATAACTTCACATATCACTCACCTACGTCTACCCCCCCCCCCCACCCCGGTCCCCACCTCCCCACGTACCCTTCAGGCCCTCCATTCACCCCCATATCACTACTATCATCACCCCTGAATCGATGCAGCCCCATGAAAGATTAGCACCGCCACTTGATAAAACGCTTCTATCTGGGACAGACTATTATTCAGGCTCTTAACGGTACAATATAGCCACTACTGTCTAGACACTACATTATATAGGCCTACATATTAGCATATATCGATACTAGCAATAAATATAGCACTCCATAATGCCATTATATAAATGATCTACACCTACTACTCGCCTCATAGCATATACCCAGAAGACACAACCAGCCGCACACGCGCCATATCTGGCCCAACTAATCGCGCTTCAATCCTTGGCCAACCAATACGGCATAACTATTCGGCCGCATCTGCCAATATGCGGCCCTGACCCCGGCTTTAGCACTTTTGCGCCCCGACATTGGGTTAAACTGGGCTCCAGGTTGGCAGGAAGTAATGGCATCGGCGGCTAAATGATTACACTTTCCTTGATATCGAGTGTTGTGGCTGGGCCATCTTTGAATGGAAAAGATTGTACTTATTAATTATTCTGAGCGTTTCAAATAAAAATTGTATTAAAATGTCCTCGAAAATGCATAATTTAAACATTTGAGCCTAAACATTGCATCGTCCCGCCGGCCAACACAGACGTCGGCCTTGGCGATGGCACGCGATACCTCCCGGCTCCGCACTGCGTGTAGCAGGCGTGACCATTTCTCTTCTGGAGCGTATGTGCAATGTGGTAACCAGGCCACGCTGGGCAAACACCGCCTGACGGTACGCGGGGGGGGGGGGGGGGGGTGTCCGCCACGCCGGCCGTTCCCACTCGTCGCACGGCAAGCCAGGCAGCGCGGAACACGCGACCGCACTCGTAGGCGTGCTCCTCGGCCGAGCCATGCGCGGACTCGAGCGATCTCGGAGCAGCCACGCGATGGAGACGACCCAGCACATTCCGCGCGCGTATCGCCACGAGCGTGGTTTCAGCTGCGGCGCCGCGACGCCAGACGACCTGTGCGTTCGTGCTCGCAGCAACGTCGATCGGCTGGAGACGGAAAGCGCGCCGAGCTTGCCGACGATCACTGATGACCAAGCTCGCTGCCTCACTCAGCATCCAAGAATCGTCAGGACGATGCCTGCTGCCTGCTGCCTTCCCTGACCCACCTACCTGCGTCTTTCACCGCTGCGGCCTCGTTTGCTTCGCAACGGCCAACGGACCGGACGCCATTTGCGGCAGAATCTTCTCAAGTCGTATCCGGGGCGTGGTTTCGGGCGGCCGAGGGTTTGAACTCTTTCTAATCNAGAGAGCGAAGGAACGCAGACTACGACAAAGACCCGCTACTACGGCTAGAGTCTGATGTCCCTCAGCGTACTGCCGAACGTACCCTGCGGTACGGCTTCGCACGTAACGCAAACGTACCCTGGTAACTATCTGATATGCCGTTAGAGTTTAGGTAGCGGTCACAGGCACTTTAAACGCTTTCAATAAAATATAAAGCCCTAGATAAATGACGAAATCTAATACTAGTAGTACAAAATTCTTAATGTTTCTATACTCTCTTTCACCTATTATTGCCGACAGTTCTGTCAATGCCCGTGCTAAATGCTTATATATGCCACACACACTACCGCCGCCGGCTCACGTGTCGCCACAGTGACTCTTAATAATATACCGTCGTCGTTGCGGCGTCGCCTAACGCTGCGAGCTGCCGCGGAGCGCATTTTTCTCGTAAAGGGGCAGGAGGGGGATTCCAAAATTTTCGCTCCCGTATTGTTGTTCACCAGGGCGCTTTATGAAAGCGACGCCGCCACGCGAGCATCCTCGCCCGCTCCGTGTATTTTTTTTCGCTGGTGTGTGTGTGTGAGTGTGTGTGTGAATGTGTGTGTGTGTGTGTGTGTCGTGCTGTGGTGTGTGTGTTGGGCTGTGTGTAGTGGTGTTGTGTGTGTGTGTGTGCTTGCTGTGTGTGCTGTGTGTGTGTGTTGTGTGTGTGTGTTTGTGTGTGGCTGTCTGGGTGCCACGTGTGTCTGTGTCCGTGTGTGTGCGTGCGGTGCGTGACTGCGTGTTTTCGTTAGCAAGTTCTAGGCGTCGTTTGTCGAAATCCTCGTGTCTGCTCCAGTTAACACTCTCATCACTCTCTCACTCAGCTCGTCTCTCTCTCTCTCTCTCTCTCCTCTCTCCTCTCTCTCTCTCTCGTCTCTTCTTGCTCCCTCTCTCTGTCACTCGCGTCTCGTCGCTCTTCTCACCTAACTACTCGCTATCTTTTTTCATTTCTTTCTCTCTCTCGCGTTTCCCCGTCTAAATCTCGCTATCCCTTGTCTTGTGACTCTTTCCGCTCCCCATTATCTCTCTCTCTCTCTTCTTCTCTGCGCACTTTCACTTACTCGCGCTCACTATCATTCTCTCTCTACTAATCCATCCATTCATCCATTCATCTATACATACATCCATACGCTCTCTCCCTCCCTCTCTCTCTCTCTCTCTCTCTCTCTCTCTCTCTCTCTTCTCTCTCTCTCTGCGCTCTCGCTAGGCGAAATCTACACTATGTTTACCATGGCGTCGAGCGCTTCCACGCTCTTATACCAATCGCGCGACGGCCAGTTTTAAGGACTGTGTGACGAGATAGCAGTCTGTTATTCCGGCGAACTATGTTATTTCGTCATGCCACAGCCATGATCTGCAATGTGGATTGCTACCGGAATGCGCGGGAGAAATGATGGCGCAATTTATTAGTCTGCGAGCCACAACTCACCGCCTTCTCCTGTCAAACATGTGCAGCATCAGATGCGAAAGCGAAAGACGCGAAGAAAATGAAGCAAGAAAGTAAGGAAAAAAAAGAAGGCAGCAAAGGAAACAAAATGAGAAAGAAGGAAAATGAAGAATGAAAGAAGTAAAGAAGCGCATCAGAGTAGGAAATGGCAGTAGAAAAATCGCGTGAACGAGAAAAAAAATCGTTACGAGAGCTGCGTAGTCTCTCGTATACTTCTCTAGCGCTTCTACAATTATAACTGGGGGGGGGCAACAGAGCGAAACGTAAGAATAATCGGGAAAGCTGTTTAAAAATGCGTACATGCTTTCATGCTAACATAAGTCATTATCGCCACTCTATTAACAAAACAATAAAAGGCGACCAAACTAAGCACGACGTTAACACTATAAGTATAATTAAATTATAACTTAAAATATATATTTAGTAAACATTAATGAGAAAGCGAGCAAACAATTCATGACAACTGACAATTTTAACTAGTGTGTTAGAGTTCACCAGCACACGCCACGTGATGTTAGAGAATTTGGAGAAAACACTAGCCAGAATTAACTGGCGCCAGTGAGTTCTCATATCATATAGGGGCCAAACTAAGAGAACGCGAAAAGCACACAACTACCGCGCAGCTGCATATATACCACACCCTGCGTAAAACAATCGCCCGAAAATTCGTAGTTCTCTTTCTTTTTATTCTTCGCTTTTCTCTATTGCAAATACGTGAGCTTTTCCGACAAGGAGGTATGTATATCTCAGGCATGCTATGTATGTGGGCTCTGCACAATCTTACCGCGGCTATGTGAGATAGATTCCATGGCGTATTAATTTTATCCTCCGCACGAAGTGTAGCGGAGGGTATTGTTTTTGGCTCGTTTGTATGTGTGCATAGAATTCATCGCGTATTTGTTGGTAAGCGCACATTCCACATCTGTCGTTGACACACCTGCGCTGACATTGAAAGCACAATCATGACGTTAGTTTATTAATTCGACAGCCCTCGTTTCTGAGATTCTAAATACTTTCAGACAGTATTGTTTCGACTGGAACGATATTTGTCTACGCGACCAAGGGC